TTTATTCTTTCGATGCACAGCTAATGATGAACATATAGCAATCTTTCTATAATTTTACTAAATTTATTCAGAAATAAGGGTTAAATTAAAATGTTAAAATTATTCCCCTTGTACATACATACAAACAATGTAATGCAATAAAAATCAACTGTTCCCTGGCGCGTAACAAACAACTTTACCGTCTATTTAGTGCTTCAGAACCGCAAACGTAAACAATCCTTGTACTAAAATAATTCCAACTATAAATTGGTCAGTATTCTTATCCTAGGCAATAATCTCATCCTCATCGTTACACATCAGAAATTAATAACTTGGCGAACTCACAAGGCACGTCCCTGCGTTTTCTCTAATGCAAGTACGATAATTCACTTAGATGGGACACATGTATATTTATCAAAGTATCAATTATTTATTAGACTTCGTACCTACCACACTCGTCTCTGTATCCGATGTTATCATAGGAAAATATGTGCTTTGTGCTCTTATGCGTTCGCATGGATCGCAAATTCAAATTGGCGAGGAGCCAAATGTAAGGTGATAAACATAGTATGTAATTATTAACCGAATTTATGAACTGCAAATTCTTTGATTTGTATAATTTCACATGTAATTATTACCTTTTGAAATATGTTGTCCAATGAAAATTACCACAGTGATGCAGATCAATTTTTCCTGTGACAATCTTCATCAACACAGTTAAAAACTTGTAATTAAATTAAAATTAATTGTAATTTAATATTTCTGATTGATGAATGATTAGCACGAAGAATTTATTTATCTATTTAATATAAATTCGTATTTAAATAATCTGGTATTTATCAAAAGACAACCAACAAATTTTATTTTGATGCCCTTTGGTGCGCACATTGGTTTGCGTACCGAAGTTTTGGCAAATTTAATTAAGTTATCATCGCAAAAGTAAAAATTTTAATTATGACAGTTTATGGTATATTTCCTGTTTCAAAACACGTTTTCCACCTGTGATAATTTTAATATCCTCCATATCTGTGAACAGAGAGCGAGCGGATTAGACGTTTACTCTACGTCAATTCGTGCGATCAAAATCGCGGATTACATCAAGTTGAATGTTCTGAAATAGGTTTCGTTTTGATTGTATCACGCGTGTATGTTTATAAAACGATTTAAATCATCATTATCATTATGGCTGATACTAAAGCAACAAATACGAGAACAGAGAGACGCACTGTAATTATTCTGCATAATTACTCGGATTACAGTTTGTAGAACGACTTAGGTAGAGAAATGCGTAAGAAGATAGTTGAGAGCATATTTCAGTTTCATATTTGAATTGATTCTGTATATTGAATCCGCATTTATAATATTTTGTCAAAATTTCCACATAATTACAATCTGCCTGGAAAAGCATTCAGTGATTTTGATGCCTAAGTGTGTAGAGATAGACCCTACCTAGTCATACGTATTTTGAATTTAAAAATTGATGGGATGAAGGTAAAGTTTATATAAATTCAATACTTGATTCAAATTTTTATAAGTTAATAGTTGGCATTCTAATGACTGATTCACCAATTCAGCTCTGGTCTTCAAAGATGTCGTAAAATTAAATGCCTTGTATATTGACTTTTAAGACTTTCTTCTGTAATCTTCTAGTAACTGGTATATATAGAATATAATATATATTTATAAATCTATCATATGTAAAACAATTCATTTTAGGTAATTTATTTCTTTCATTTTTTTCAGATATTGACGACTGTGTAGGAAATCCTTGTGAGCATGGAGGATCGTGCATAGACTTGGTTGATGGTTTCGCTGTGAATGTCCTTCGGAATGGACAGGAGAACACTGTGAAACAGGTACTTATAAATATTTGAATAAATTTTCACAAATAACAATTTTGACTTATCCTAGTTTATTTTAAATTATATGATTCAGGTGGCTTATCAATTTCACTTTATGTATAGTTTCCGTAAAACTTATGAACATATCTGTACGGATATGTCTTATAGTAAATGTATTTACCTTACTTTATTTTTATAGATATTTCATTTGTTCTGAATTCTAATTTCAATTAAGTGCATCAAATTAAAGCAATAACTTTTTCACTCAAATTACCTAGGTAAACTTCAGAATAAACTCTTAAATAAGCAGCTTTGTTCACAGAATTGGCTGATGAACCTTGATACCAACATGTGTACTTAGACATTGGCATAAACTTATTTAGTTGTATTTTTTGATAATTATTGACGGATTATAATTTGGTTTAGATAACTTTCAAATTCAAAGTAATGCATATATTTTTGTGAAATATTTTCAGTAAGTATAATTCAAACGATTGTTATTTCCCAAGGAGAAAGGTGTTTCAATCCCGTCAGTTCGATGAGACAAAAAAAATGATTTTCTTGTAATTAGGTATGTGTAGGTACACAGGTTGATCCTCGGTTAAGTTAGCCAATTCGCACGCTGGTGAACATGCCCGCCGTGTTGCACACTTCATTAAGACGAACCGTGAGTTTCACGGATAGGAATGCATCTAACGACGTTTTCGAATTTTACCTTTCGTGCGAGGAAACGACCCGAAAGCTAACGCGGGCCCAGGAGAGCCGAGCACTTTTATTGCGTACGCCGTTTTGCGTTTTTACACTTTTATAATCTGACACAGAGATATCCCACGATTTAATGTCGTTTGTTGTCTTTTTGTCTAATTTCCGAAAGGGTACTTAAAGAAGGATTCATTTCCATGAACTTATTCTACGTTTCGCTGTAGAAAACGTACCTTGCAAATATATTCATAGGGGAAAGGCCCCGAGTGCCGGTTATTTATAAATAAATCAAAAATATTTTACGAAATGTTTATTAAATCATGACCTATGTTAGAAATCAAACTAAATTAACAAAAACGCAATCTTTGCTAAACAATAATTAATACTATCAATCAAACTTTAGTGACAAAAACATGATTTTACGAAGTGGCACCTAGTACCGGACATTTCAAAATAACCTGGAATGTCTGCACATTTGTGTTTGACGAATATTCTTAGATATTGCAAAAAAATCACTAATTATCCACCCTTTTGGCCGATGCTCTCAGCTGGAGCATTCATCATCGATTTTCATTCTTTGACTAGAAAATACGAAAAAATGGGGTATGTACTGACGGTTAGCACTCATACAGAACAAAATTAAATAATTAGAATAAATTACGTCAATTCTTACAAGAAATATCAATATGTTTACTTCAGGCGCTAAGGGACGACTTAGTGTCCGGTGCTAAGGGACAAACAATTTCGTTCATTTGGTGGTACCTACTAAAATTGTTTAAAATATCTAATAATATTCTTTTACGGATAACAATCAAGTACTACTTTTATTTTTGAATGCCACTAAAATATAAATGCATAAATACAGTAGAATTACTTCCATTGATATTCAGGCGACGCCGTGTTTTTGCGCCTAAAACAACAAAGGGTTCCCCCGCGCCCCTTTCACTTGTATTTTGAAATAAAAAAAAATATGCTCGCTTAAATAATACGTGTTAAATAGAGTGCCCGGCTTTAAGTGCCGTCCGGTGTTACTGGACTTCCCCCTACATGTCTTTTGTTGGAATCTGAACTTCAAATCATCTTGGACAAAATTTTAAAAGATCAACGACAAATCTATTGCAGTATTTTTTTTTTGACTATTTCTTTTAAAAATGATTATAGATTATGGAATTTTATTTCGATTTCTTAAACACTGATTTCTTAAATTTACATTTCAAACAAAGCATTATCGTTTACGTTGATCTTCTCAGTACTTTTAATCTCACACGAGGTGTGATAATCGAACGGCATTTCACCTACACAAAAACCTAATAAAAACACTTGTCGATTACCTACATATCGCGCCTCCAAAATCAGGCGATAATTATCTACATCGATTTTTATCAGATAGAAATCATCAAAAGCTTTTAGCGATTGCATAAAACATTATCGGAAATTGTCTAAAGCGAATTCATTTAGATATATTACGAGATATGGACGATTTTCGACGCTCTTTTGTCAAATCCGTCTTCGCAAATCATTAATGATAATGGCTTGTACCGGCGTGAAATTTCTTTGTGCGTTGACACAGCGAGAAAAAAATAAACGGTATGACTTTGGCGTTTGGAATTAACCAAGCGTAGAAGATAGTTAACGAACTTTGAGCGTAGGTGACGGCGAATCGGTGTGATCTGTGGTCGTCTCGGGAAGAAGACTCAAATCGTGCAGAAAATTCGATTTAAAATTACCTAAACACACTCACGATTAGAAAAACACATACTTTCAATTTACAATTGAGAAATTTAAAATATAGAAATGAATGCTAATAAGAAACATATATTTATTAAAAATACTAGTGGTTTTTCAGTTCAAAAGAGACTAGAATTTGTGACTATTACTCATTCAATTAATTTCATATAGTGTTCTATTTGTGTTTGGAGTCCTCAGCCGAACGAGCTAAACGTTCTCCACTTGGAGCAACGATTTACTGGGCCGCATTCAAGCAATATATCCTCTCTTTTCCAAATATACTCAATTTTCAAATCCTCAGAATTTATTATATGAAACTATTAGTAGTCAAAAGCGAAAGTTATAGATGGAGTATATTACTAACAATGGTGCTTATCGTAAGTCTTGCTTCATTTTCTCAAAGAGAACTAAAATTATCTCTCATTGGCCAATTTCAATGCTAGATGAGAATTTGAATGGTCGTAATTTCGATTATAAAAAATGCCAAGAATCATTCCCCATTCCTAATTGTAGGACAAAAATGTCGCGTCTCGCATCGTTTCCCCGATAATTCACGATTTGTTCCATTGTTTCGAAGGTGAGACGGCGTTAAGTCACTAACGATATCCTCTGTTCCTTCATGTCGAACACTTGTTCTGTTCAGACAGACTGGACTTCGTTTTAGACGATATGGGATTTGAATAGCATTTTAATTTTTTTTTGAAAGCTATGTCGTGTTAGAAGAATTCAATGGTTAGTGAATTGCTAAAGCATCATTGTAGATATCATTTGTCTTTAAAATAAAATGTAGAAATAATAGTATGGTTGAAAAATTATTTTCCTAGTCAAAATTTGTTCATGTGAATAAACAGAAATTACAACTTTTTTGGTCCTCCAAACTTATAGAAATAGTTAAAATCGGAATTGGATGATTAGCGTACTTCATACCGGAGAAAGGTTTATAAAGAAGAGTGTAGAAACTTCAAGTAAATCAATCATGTAGAAGTTGAGAAATCATTGGTTAAAAGTTTCGCAGAGGAAGGAAACAGATGTGGATTTTTGTGGCCAACCAAGTCTGAGAATAATTTAAATTTTGGAAAATCCTCTTGTACTCATATTCTTAAAGAGTTGAACTTTGAAAATATAAAAAAAAACAAAATAGATTAACCTGTTAACTTAACAAGTTAATCCTAAGTAATTCTTACCGATTCAAAAATTTATTTTTCTCTTCATGTTTCGATGGTTCGTTTTCCAAATGGACACCCCTACATCCAGCCCATAACAAAGTCTCGGTAATAAGTCACAGTGTCTTGGCGTTAATGTGATGGCGCTAAAGCGACTATAAATCCGGCGTGGCCATCGTCTCTTCTCTGGATTCCTTTACACGTAGTACGAATTCATCATCGACCACTCACCGGCGATCATATATTAATGTCTATAAACTCGTTATATTAATTTTTTCTTCAAATTCGAAGTCGGATCCCCCCTCGGGTTTGACCTTTTGACATGTTTTTTCGTCGTGCGTCTGCAGCGGTTTGTCTTTGCACTTGGCTGTGGCATCGATTCCGAGCCCATTGAAGCGTGCAAGAATACATATATATTGATGCAGGAAACTAAACGAAGACATATGTGTGCTGTATTAAAAATAGCAAGCGAAAAGGAAAAAATACGATGATTCTGTCGGCGCGTAAAGTATTGGCGAGACCATTTAGATTTTTTAAATCGTTTGTAAATTAGAAACTAGATATCTTTGGTGAAGCTTACGTGTATCTGTTCTATTCAGAAATGTTTACGGTAAGCGTGCCGGAGGAAACTAATAGACAACATGCGGTTGAATTTAAAAATAACCGACCTTGAAACGTAAATTTAGTACCGAACATACTTTTCTGATTATTATCGAATAGTTTCCTAATTGTTCAAGAATTTTAGATGCTTTAAATCTGTTCATAATAACTAAATACCATGACCTTTAATGTATACCAACTAATTGATATTTTTCATAAACCATATGCCTCTCTATATCTTTTGATCTTATCCTCGATAGATATTTTCTTGAAATATTTTTCCACATTATGGTAAAAAACGTTCAGACTTTGTTAGAAACATACATATGAGAAAATGTAAATATGAAATAGTAAGTACGAGCAGATAAGAAAATTAGACGTTTGTATATACTTGGGGTCATAGGTTATGTATTTTGTACGTTTTTCAATTACAACCTATGAGAATTAGGAGCTGAAGTGTGTTTTTGATTGACATTGGCATCAGTCTCGTACTTAGGCAATAGATCATCAACTTATTTTATCATTGGCATTAATAATGCGACTTGTTTATGTATGAATAATTTTTTTTCCTTTATTTTTGTTTGAACTATTTAGTTCAATACATTTGGTTAGACACATACACTCACGCACATGGAATTATTGTGCTAAATTTTTGTAAGTCTTTAGTTGTCCATCCAATGTGTGGTTCACTTCTCCAAAGATATAGTAGAGTTGAATGCCTTGAATATTGTCTTTAGCAATCTTCTTTATGAGGCTTCTTGAAACTGGTGTCTTGAAAAGTTGAGCCACCGTAGAATTAGTTTGATGTTCAAGTTTTAGGAAATTTGATTTCTAAACATATATTTTTAAATTTATGTAAAATTTCAATGCATATTCAATGCTAGATAGTAGGAGCTTTTAAAATATCAGGCGTTATACACATAAAACGCCACATAAAACGGTATCAGCAGGGCCGGTCCTAGGGTACTCAGCGCCCGCATGCAATTTTTTTTTTCTAGCGCACCCCCCCCTCTCTATTATTTTAACTTCTTGAACAATTTATCATAAAAATTATATAAATATTTAGGTTAATTTTTTAAATATTTTTTTAATAAATCTGGATTTAGTACACAAAAAAATTAGATATAATGTAAATGCGCATTAAATACATTGATTTTAATTTTACTTAGAAGATCAAGGCGATTTGCGACTAAATTAATAAATATTGTTCAAAATTAGTAAAAGATGCAATGAAATTTAATATTCTTCGAATTAAATTAAGAAAACTATATTATAAATTTCATATACGAATCTCGTTTTGGCGCCCCCTAAGGCGTGCGCCCGCATTTTTTGCATGCATCGCATAAAGGTAGGACCGGCCCTGCGCATCACAAAGATGCAGTTATGATAACATTATATGTTTGTTTATATGTAAAGTACGCCAGATCGCGCAGCAAATAGAAAGCATTTTCACAGTTTTTAATACCAAGAAAGAAATATAAGATAGCGTTGCCATAACAACGCTATGTTATCGTCTTTGAGGAAATCCGAATTTTTATAAATCCATATATTAAGAGGCCAATCCTTAATATATGAATTTAAAAAAATTGGGATATCCTCAAAAATCTATTATATATCTATTATTTTCTAACAATAATTTCCTTCTTTTTCCTTCAACAGACGTCGACGAATGCCTCTCCTCCCCTTGTGCGAACGCGGTCTCGTGCTCCAACACGCACGGGGGCTTCCACTGCACGTGCGCGCCAGGCTGGGGCGGAGCACTTTGCGCCCGGAACATAGACGACTGCGTGGGACAGTGTCTGAATGGGGCCACGTGCATAGATCTCGTGGACGACTACCACTGCGCGTGCGCTTCTGGATATACAGGTGAGTGGCAATTTAGGGTAGAAAGATAAAGGGTTGATATATCAAGAAGGGTGAATTAATTTGACAGGGTGAATAGGGTATTAGTAGGGTCAAAGGTTGAACGATTATTTGGTTGTCTTCGTGATAAAGTAGTTTGAAAGTGGTTTTGAATTTGGGTACAGCGGGGATTAAATGTCAGTGGGTGAAATGGTCCACCACCAATATCTCAAAAACATGTAAAGTTAGAAAATTTTTAACAATATTTGACAGTAGAGAGCAAAAGATATGTAAGCAGCAATCGCTTTATATTTCCATTGTAACTCTGAACCATGACCCTGGTAAAGGAGTAAAGAGTAAAAAACTAGTAACTAAAACAGTAAATTAAAATTGAAATGCAATTTTATTCCAACGCCGTTGATGAGTATTTCTGATGTGATACCAGATCTAGGTTATATACAATGTTATCTTTTCAAAAAATGTGCCCATGAAATTTATCTTAGCATTGGTTGAATAATATAGTTATCATTTTGTAAACTTTCTACAAAATTGAAAATAGAACATTGGTTTGTTTGCCCCCTGGCTTTCCGGTTTTACCACGTCTATGGGGTAAAAAGAGACAGATGGCACATTTTAGAAATATAGTACAAAAACACATTTATATAATTAGGAATTATCTGGGAATTTCACTGAAGGTAGTACGATACTGTTTGTTTGATATTTGTTATGTGTTGTCTAATGTCCAATTAGACCTTTGTGCCCCGCACTATCCTATATATAGATATTTAATCAGAGATTTACACTTGCATATCGCATGAAATATTTTAAAAATAATACTTCCAACTATACTAAAAAGTATCATTTTTCATCAAGCAAGCTTATGATTTAATCATCCCTCTATTTTATAAGGGTATGATATTATGAGGGTTGCACCTTGATATATGCTGTCATTTCGTTGACATCATTTGGTGCACATGCCTTTTGATATTTCATTTGTTTGGATGCAGGTACAATTTTGCATATGCCAGTGGGAGATTTTTGGCATTTCTTTTTTATACACAGGTGCAAACGTAAACGAAAGTTTGTGGTAGAAAATGTGTTCTTTGAACAGATGTATAAAAGTGAAATTGTAATAATAAATATTTGACGATCTTGGATAAATAACCAGAGTGTATATAATTTTTTTTTTTTTTTTTAATTTTTATTTTCAATAGCAATCAGAATACATAACTATTCTATGAGCTATTTGGCTTATGTCATTCACTCACACACATACACACACACTTGCAAACACACATATAAATTTATCGGATCAATATTACAATCATATTCAGAGAATCACTTCAATAAATGATTCAATTATTCTGTTTATATAAGGTTGTGGTAGTTCTATGGTTCCTCCATATTATCTTCGGGCAGCTTCTTCTTCAGTCTTCTTGAAGTTGATGTCTCAAGAAGCTGAGTGACTATATTGTTTGAATGATGTTGTAGTTTTTGAAAGTGTTTTATACTGTTGATTTGTATTATTTTGTTTATAAAATCAATATGAAGATCGTCGTGTAAAGTTTTGTTGCTAACAAACCACGGAGCATCAGTAATCTGCCTCAATATTTTCGATTGGGCACGTTGCATTAACGCTATATTGGATTTGCTTGCACAGCTCCACAATTCAATGCCATAAGTCCATATGGGTTTTATTATTGCCTTGTAAATTAGAAGTTTATTGTCAATGGATAAAATTGACTTGCGTCCCAGTAGCCAGTATAGTTCAGCGGTTCTAATTTTTATAGTCTTTAATTTGGCGCGAATATGGTCCTTCCACGTGAGCCTACGATCTAAATGCATACCTAAGTATTTGACGCATTCGGTGCTTGGAATTGCTTGGCCATAAAAATGTACTCCTGGGCATGTTGTCTTGTTCAGTGTAAATGTTATATGACTAGACTTGCTCTCATTTATTTTTATTCTCCATTTTTTGTCCACTCCTCTATAACATTTAGATGCCTTTGTAAAATTAGCGTAGCCTTAGATGCATCAGCATGTGTCGAAAGAATTGCTATGTCGTCAGCAAATGTAGCTGTTGTGGTTGATTGTAAAGTTGGAAAATCACTAGTGAAGAGGATATATAAAAATGGCGCTAAAACACTGCCTTGTGGAACTCCTGCCTCAATCTGATGAGATATTGAGGTTTCAGTGTTGACCCGTACTTTGAATTTCCTATTGGCGAGATAAGATTCTAGAATATTATAATAACCACATGGAAGTAGCGATCTAATCTTCAATAAAAGTCCCTTGTGCCACACCTTATCGAAAGCCTGGCTCACATCTAGAAAGACTGCAGAACAGAATTGTTTGGCCTCGAAAGTATTGCTGATGACTCTTACGATTCTGTGGCACTGTTGAATTGTGGAGTGTTGACTCCGAAAGCCAAACTGATGTTCTGGAAATATATTCGCGCTAGTTAAGATATGTTGAAGCAGGAGTGTATATAATGAAGATAGTACAAAAACTTCTTTCAAGTACAACAGGAAAGGTATATTTTTGTAGATAATTTGGAAAAGTTATGATCATTTAGAATTCATTTTGCTGCTTTTACTTGTTGGCACTTTTAAAATGCAATTAATTTTATTTTAAGAATTTGGTCATGTATACTACTTCGTTTTTATATACCACTTCGTTTTCATTACAATAATGAGATGGAATATTTCAATATAATATTCTCGCATTTAAACGAAAAGACTTGTAAACATATTGCTAATTTGAAGAAAAAAGAAAAAGTTTACAAGTAATTTGGCATCATTTCCTCTGGGCAACGGTCCATAACAGCCTTATCAAACATGTTTCTTGAAACGACTAAAGACATCCATCGTATTTCATAAATAAGTAAATAAATAAATAACTAAATCTGCAAACAGGAAATTGTAGTTCATTAACACATGTACATAGTGTTATTAGGTTATTAATCGGTAAAGATAGTTTTAGGCAGATAGCTGGTCGTAGATTTACTCAAATTCATTAAATTGATTTGGATATAAATAGATTCTTTTGTGCAATCTTAGGGATATAAGAACATGTTGGCACGAAATCGTAAGATTTGATTAATTTTAAATAATTTTAAAATTTAATTTTTTAATTTTAATTTTTTAATTTAATTTTAATTTTATATTTTAAATAATTTAATATTTTTAATTTATTTCATTTTTACTACCTAGTTCTAAATAATTATTATTTTATTACAATTACCGAATTTTTGTATCAAAATGGAATACTTAATTTTTAAACTCGTGCAGGTTTTAAATTTATAAATATATATAATTCTAATATCTCAATTATACAATTTTGAATAAATCATTTTCCAGTTGTGTATCCATTCAGTTAAGAGCTTTACCGATATCTGTGTCAGTTGTTCACAAGGAGAATGTAATTTCTCAAAGTGTCTCCAGGTACACCATAACAAGGAGAGATGAGTAATTACAATACTTGGCCATATACTAGATAATTATGCTGTCTGTGAACAAAATATTTATGGTAGCCACGGTTGTTAGTCAGTTCTTGCAGCTAAATATCCCGTAGAGAACTTGCGTTAATACCACGATAGGGCGTTTATGCAAATTTGTAATACACTAGTAAATCACACTGATTGCAATGGTTTAATTAATTAGATAATTTGCGGTTGGTTATTTTGGTAATGATGGGCCGTAATATCTATAATACTATAATGATAAATAATCTTAATGGTATTGCCTTGGACGATTATGTTGTCGAAGACGTATAGAAAATTGGTTTTGGAAATAGTCAAATATTCAAAATTTTAGGTAGGGTTGGTATGGCATGTTTATGTTTCTGAGCAGCAATCAGATATGCTTTTGTGCTGGTTTGACTTAATACTACGTCGGTTTTACAGATGAAAACACAAACAGCACTCTCATCTCTATGTGATATATTTTATCACAATTTCTGTAGCATGGCCAATATTTATTGATGCAGAAATCCCGGACGAGGGCTATTCTCACTTAGAAACATATTCGTATCTATACCAATTTGGTTTTACAAGAATATTTTTCCAATTTATAAGATTTTCTACTGAAGGATAAATTACGGAGAATAAATTGCGATAAATACAAGCAACCGGAAAGCCAGGACCTACCTTGCTGTATGTAACAAAATTGTGTCAGGTTTTATGTTTCAGGGTTAAGTGTTTTCTCAATAAATCTATTAAACCGCCCAGAAATGATTTCGCAAAACCTATATGTATGAATCAACATGTCCTCAATTGGCATTAATTAACAGTGTATACCTTATACAGTTATGCTGCAGGTACTTTGTAATTCCAGGAAATTTGCGATTGACAGTCATATATGCTCTCCCAGTTCTTATCTACTGGTATTGCTATTAATTCAGAAATTAACCATATATAAGTAGAGAATTTATATATCGCATACTTCGGTATGCGCATTCTGGGTACTGCACGCATATCTGCTCAATTTATTTACCGTCTGCCTTACCTGGAATACCGAGCACCGAGCACTGTCATTAAACCGATTTCTCCTCGATGTGATGCCGGTAATTATTGATTTATTTCGAAATGATTTCAAATTCGCGCAGTTTATTTATAACACACACGTCGATTATTATCATCCATTGATATTTTTCGAATTAATAACGTAATGAGGTTCCAGCGATGTTTTCATTTTGGCTTGGATCAGATATTGAGCTTTTACGGAAGAACGGTTGGTAAGATCACTTTGTATTGAAACACAACTTTTCGGTGTGATGCGAATTGAGTAGTGGATATTTAAATTGTAATTGTACTTTTTTATTTTTATTTTACTGTTATATATACATTTTTGATCCTATGAACCAACATATTACTGTCACGGTCTTGGTCAACCATGCTTCGTATAAATTTATAAAATAAAATTTTACCAATTTTCTAATTTTTATAAAATAGAGTCATTGTTTTATATATTTTGAGTTAAGCACATTTTGTTATTTGAGTTGACCATTTGACCAAACTCACCCAAATATGTTTTTTTGCTAACTCATATGTTAAAGATGATCAGTATGATTCAGAACTCATATGTATTTTTTTTATCTATTTGATTTTTATCTAATTAGCGATACATCAGCGTTTATTATTTATTGGTTTGAAAATTTAAATTATTAAGCGTTCCATAATTTACATTTGGTCCCAACTTTATCACTTTTTATTACCCAAGCGCGGTGCGGAAATTAACGTTACAATGTTTTAATTACATAAAAAACCGTTGTTTAATGAACGTATTTTTGACAAGTGATTTGCATATACACGCACTCTCATATTAACTCATATATGAAACAACAATCGAAGAACTTACATGGCTTATTCATCGAAGTAAAGTAAATTTAATGAAGCTTCAATGAATAATTTATTTCCTTAATGTAATAGTCTTATTTTTGTTCTTCACTTTGCTTCATTAATTTTAATGAATATGTCTTAATGAATGGAATTGTTGGTGTTACCAATACTTGATTTTGAAATATGATTTTTAAAACTATCTCGATGTGATAAATGTTACGTATTTATGTATTTATTTAAAAACATAGTTACATCGAAAAAAATTTCATCGAGACTTATCATTTAATGGCTGGATTTGTTTTAAATTTTGCAGGTCGTGATTGTTCACAAGACGTTGATGAATGCCAAACAAATCCTTGTAGGCATGGTGGAGAATGTGTTGACTTGGTTGGCGGTTTCAGATGCATTTGTCCAGTTGGAAGATCAGGAACATTATGCGAGGTAAGTGCAGTAGAATTTATTTATTTCTTTGCAATAATATATAAATGAGGAAGTGAAGATTTTTAATTAGTGGTTTACATCCGCTAGCTAGTATGTTCTATGGTGCCAATTGATGGCATCTTGCTGGTTAACCAATATTCTTGAATGGATATTATTGCATCATTCATTTTTTTAATGTACAACATTTGTCGCATTTATTTTTTTTAAAGCTTATTTATATTCTTTCTTAAATTTTTTGATATTCATAGTTACCACCACAAACACATCTTACATTTTATAGCACATAATCGACTATTTTTTTAAGCAAATGTACTTTTATACTCTCCAAAATTATCATTACATGAATTATATCTCAGTTCTAATTTATTTCTCACTAAATATGTAATTATATCTCTCATCGCAATTTTAGTAGTTGTCACAATTTTAATTCAGCAACTTAATATAAATATACAATCGCAATTACAAAAAAGTAATTGCTACAGATTTTCACACGTCCAAAAAGTTGAATTAGCCAATTGCTTAATTACTGAAGCACTTTCGTTATGAAGTAATTATATAAATGAACTGTTGTAATTAATGTAATAGTGGTAGTCCCACGTATGTTTAAGGATACAATTAATTTAATTTACGAGATTTAATTGTAAGATGTATAATGAAAATATTTCGAACGTCGATAGTTAATTTAACTCTTGATAGTCAGTTATTATCAGTAACTAGATATTTAATTTAACAAACTGTCTATAAAATGCTTAGAGTGCTATAATTTAAATTAACAAAATCATTTAAACGGTGTTTATCCAATTTAAAACTTAATTACAAATATAAATGAACTAATTCATATATAAATGACTTGCGCGATTAAATTTTAAATTATGTTGAACTCATTAGCATGGTTTGGGAATTATAATGGTTTTATTTATGAGGCATTCGTGGTAAAAGTGTGTTGCGAAATGAATTGATGATATCATCTTTTTCCAGCAAACCATTTGATTTAAGTTTGCATTTTAGCAATTTATTATAAATTAAAATTGGATTAATAAATTACAAGATTAAGATGTGGACAATAATAATACTAAACAGCGATTCATTACATAATTTTATTATTTCTGCTAGTGTATTAGAGTAAAATATTAGCACCCTTCCTCATCCATTCTCTGGTAAATTTTCTTGAAGATCGATGGTTGTTTCGCTAGTCTTTTTCCCCAATGCTTTAAGTAGGTTCGGCACTAAAATAATAATTCCTAATTGATAGAAATTATTCGCTATCAAATAATGAAATCCTCCTAGATTGTTTGTATCGTTTCACATGTACCGTAATAGAAAATGATATATGGCCGTACTCGCCGAGTGCATATTTACGCTGGAATTACATAAGCATTACTCATTACTTACGCCAACATTGCTTAGTTTATACAATTCACACGCTTCCGATCCATCTTAATAACTGTCTGCGGAAAATGATAATGTTTCTTCCTCTTACTGATATCAAGGGTATAAATAGACGGTTTTAACATCAGATCGCATTCCATACATTATTGTTGAATTAAAATGCAAGCGCTTACTGGAAGAGAAATATGTGTATGATAAATACTCACTGGGGGAACGCATTTTATTCTAAAGATTTTCACTTATTTGCTTAAAATTAAAATAATTTCTGCAATTCTGTTTTGCAATCTCGAAGGTGAATATGATTTATGTATAGATTCCATCGATATAGATCAAAGAAAAAAAGTGTTGTACTTCCTCTTTCGAAGGTCAATAAGTGGGTAATTTTGGTTCAGATACGATGCATTGATATTGAGGGGCGAATTCTCCGGCAAAATAGCCCATAACATAGCGTTGTTATGGCAACGCTATGTTACGCTACTTTCTTGGTACTAAAAACTGTCAAAATGATATGTATGTTGCTATACATGCATTTATTCTATAAATTAATATTCAACATCGCTATTTAGATTTTTGATCAATCTATTTTTCGAAAGCAACAAAAAATACTTGGTACATTTAACGAAACAGTTATTTTTAAATACAGCATTGATTGAAGTTTTCCTTTCTATTCATTCTCAGTTATTAATAAATTAATTTAATGCATTCCTAATTTGCATAATCAATTATGGCAACAAATTTCTAACACAACACAAAAAGTTTCAAGAGCAAAAAAGCGCAATCTAGTTCCCGCATGTGCGTGGTTTTTTGCCCTCGGATCGTATCTGTACTACTACAAGTGTTAAAATGTATCGGACTATCAACACCGTTACTGTTGACACATGACAGATGATTTAATAAGTTAATATTTTTTTATAAAAAAAATGCGTATACAAAGATGTATGTACGCAGAGGAGGCAGGAATAATTTATTTAGCATGTAAATGTAACTGAGGTCCATGACTCAGTTTCACATCTATGTAGTTTTTTTCGGATGATATAGAAAGGTACTTAGCATAAATTCTTGATAGCGAACTATTGAACTTAGGCGAGTAGTAGTAGATATATATACATACACGTACATACACCACACACACACACATATATATATATATATATATATATATGTATTTATAAATGTGATTCACATGAGATCAGAAATGGCCGGAATTTGCTCGTGTGTTTATAATCGCGTTTGCCTATTATCACAGAAGTTTTATTAAATCTGGAAAACTTGACGAATTAATTTCCTAAGAATTTTCTTTAAAGTTCAAGAATTACGTGAATGCAAGGTCAACTTTTCACACACTATCTCTTGACAAACTGCAACTAAGACAATATTTCATCTCATTTTTTTTCATTAGACATAATATAATTGATTCAGGATTATAAATAATATATTGATTCAGATAAATTCAAGTAATCTCCTTAATTAAAAATTTCAAATTTCATTGTGGTAAATTGTTTAAATCTATGTTTTTAATATTTCAACACGTTTTCGTCACGATATAAGAAAAATTTCCGCATAGGCCATGGTAACTTCAATAAATAAGTTAGAAAATATCACAGAAAAAAAAGGGTGTGGCAAAACTCCTGAAAAAAACACTATTTTTTATGTCACACATATATGGCTGATATGACACTATATTAAAACTTCTTTTCTCCTTCTACACGACACAGACTAGTGTCAGACACATTTGACTGACATGGAAAATTAACTTGTTAATAATTATGGAATCTAATTCTGAATATCGAATACATAAATTAACGCAATCAAATAAATCATTCAACTAAACATAGTTTCTATGAATTATTACAGTAATTATGTTAGGTACTAACAACAGTACAACATGTGGTTATTTATATAGTATGAAGATTAAGATATTTGCTAGCCAAATTACAGTTACTATAATTATTGTCTTAATTTGGTGGAATTATTCATGAATAGATTTATCTACTAATGTTGTGCTATTGATTGATATTGTTGTTGTGATCTATTGATTTAATGCTAATATTTATCATTTTTCTTAAATCAGAACAAGAAGTTACTACAGAACAGTGATCATATTTAATATTTACATTTATCCACATTCACTTTTATCAAATATAGAAAAAAAAACAAAATAAATTTTCTATAATTTTCCTTTCCTGACTTTCGTGATTGCGAGATCATCATTTGACAGACATTTCCAAAGAGAGACATTAATTCTTTTGACAGTAGGATTGGATTAATAGCAAAGCAACACATGTCTCGTCTTACAACGAGCCATATATGATGATTCGCGATGTTGCAAACCTATTAAAAATAATAAACCGATTTTTGGATTGCCTAAGCTCTTCCTAATTGCTGTAGCGGTATGTTTGTTCAAGTTGTCGCCACAGACCTACTCTCGAGGACGATGTCTACATACTAATCAGATGCGTACGGATCGTGGGACTAAGTCTAAAGATTTACTCGCTGGGGAAATAGAAATTTACTAAATAGGGTCAGTCGAATGGAAAATTTGCAATGAAATCTAAAAATTTGCAGGTCGAGCAGATTAAGATATTTTAGGATTTTTATGCATGCTCTGTTTCAATATTTGACAAGTTTTACCATCCAACTCATCCAGGAAATTAATTACATCACAACGTTTTTTTTTGCTTCTTTGACATATGAGCAGGCAGACTAACCATAAAACAGGATATTGACCAGTATCAGTTTCCGTTCCAAACGTTCCTATAATAACAACATAATTTACGAAGTTTGGAGAGTACTTTTTATATCTCGCGCAGTCAAACTTGATTTTTGGTGTGTTTTCATAATAGTGGAACGATGCATGTATGAGAAATGCAACACAATAACTTTTAATGCACAAAGATTGCAACATAAAATTTTATATTGATTTTGCAAACGCAGAAGTTATTACAATTTTAGTTTTATACTTTTCATTTGAAGTCAATATTGCAAAACTTTTTTCGCGATTTTAGAGTTTCTCTGTGTGAATGAAGGATAAATATTATTTTCAAGTATTTTTTACCAAATTTTCCTGCTATAAAAGCTCTCAGTCTCAGTCCATTATTAACTCATTCACACGATTGAATAGTTTGTATTTAGAATTCAGGAAATGTTTAACATAATGTAATAATCATCGTTTCTCATCCGCAACTTACGCAACGAAAATACAACGTTTATTTAATGATTGTAAAACGATATATATTCGAAAATATATATGTAACAGCATAACATGTAGCTTCCTTACTGCGCTTATTTCAAATAGTCATAAATAGAGGTAGTGATGCACACTGCATATCGAGAAATAATTCTATAAATAATAATTTTTTAAAATGAGCTATGGTAAGGTAGATATATTTCATATACGTTTGTCATAGCATTATTAAATAATATCATATTTTAATTTAACTAAATTTTGTGGGATATTGTATATGTGATTTTTTTCCTGACTGCTTTGCTACTTTACAATATGGCGTCATAGCGTTTTTCATACAAATCCTTTAAAAAAACATTTTTGTATGACTTTATGATACTTTAGATTGGACTTAAAAGGAATTCGTTCTTGGTATAATTTCCTCATA